TTCCACGAAATGTTTAATATCTTTAAAAAAATGTCCAGGTTTTCAGATAAGATTTGTCGTAAGAATCACTGAAAAACACTATTAAGTTATTCAAGTGAAAGAGAACAGATTAAAATCGTTTTGTGTCAGCCCCACTATGTCTTCACAAATGAGCAATGGTGAGAGGAAAAAGATCATTCAGGCCTTCAGTAATAGTACCAACATTCATATTCTGGCTTCCATTTTCAAAGTTCATTCAAGAACCATCAAGACAACGGTGAATAAGTTTTAAAAAGAGCGGTCAGTAGAAACGAAAACTAGATCAGGAAGTCGAAAAAGTGAGAGGGATCATCATTTCTACTTAGCTCTAAATACATTATTATTGTGCAAAGTAGAGTATAACAGTGTTATAAAAACCTCGCAGAATTCCAGTAAGATATCTTTAATCATTTCTAAGATACAGCAGTTCAAAGCTTAATCTAACAATTGGACAATTTTGGTGTTACACGACTTGGACAATTCTGCTGTTACACGATTTGGACAATTTTGCTGTTACAGCCCGCATACTGCTTAATAAATAAATTAAAACAGAGCATCTACTCAAAGGTGGGTTCAATCCGCGTTTTTACTCCGTTTTGTATGCGTGTGTATTCATGAATTTAACATTATTTTACACGCTCACGTTCATGAAATTTTGCTATTGTTTGCCCTGAAGACTGGAAACCTCTTATATATATATATATATATATATATATATATATATATATATATATATGTGTGTGTGTGTGTGTGTGTGTGTGTGTGTTGATGTATGTTGCATTAAATAATATAGACAATTTTGTCTATTTATTTTAAGCCAATTACTTTCATATCGTATAACATTATCATAGCTTTTCGTCTTACATAAGCCATCATCAAAAGATGACAAGTATATTACAATAAATTAAACAATACATGGACATAGCAACAATGATAGTCTGTTTTGTTTGCATAAAAAATCTCCCAGAGGGCACTTGAATTTGTAAACAATATTGGTTTTTTGCAAATCGATAACGGTGGGGGAAGAATCATTGCGAATAATTGACTTGGATATACTAGATTTAGTGTAGTATATGATTAGCTTAATTTTTTTGCTAGAATTTGTTATAGAAATATTAGTATTTGCCAATTTTTTTTAGTATATTTTCATCTTATTTATAATTAGTATGCATTTAATTACGATATAGGAGATTAATATCTTTGGGATTAGTTGAAGCAGTATCATGTTCTATTTCATTAGAAATGAGACTTCCAAGAAAGCATCTGATTTGTTAATCAACTATATAGTTTGGAAAGCTATTATTAACAAGTGTTTGTTTTATATTCTTACCAGACGATATGAAAGGAATTTGCATAAAATAGACAAAACTTTCTATATTATTTAATGAAACATGCATCAATGAAAAAATGCTGCCTAAAACACACACACACACACACACACACACATATATATATATATATATATATATATATATATATATATATATATATATATATGAGAGCTGACAACCTCATTCAGCTGTTATGTTTGTGTCGTACGTGAAACTTCATTTCTACTAGTTACCTGCATACAAGCCCAAATATATTTGTAAACAAATGTACAAAGGCCAGGAGATCAAGTTGTCCTGCTTAAGAAACGCTGTCGCCGAACAAAACTTGAAACGTCATCCCTTTTTCTACCAGGGAAAATATCTTTAAGGTAAACGTACATTAGGTCCAGCGGAATCACTTATGGCAAAACCTAGTTCTGTCACCTTATCTAAGAAATGCACATCAATCATTGGATAATTTGGAAGTTTATATCTGCTGAATTTATTTTCGTTGCCGAAATGTAATCAATATAATTCCTAAGGAATTTTTCATAATGGGATATTGCTTTTTATCACTAATTTATCCTTCTTGTAATAATCGCTAATAAAAGTTTTATATGAACTTTTTTAATTAAGCAAAGTGTCTGCTGAAATTTATAGCAAATTATAATCACAGGTTCAATGACTGAGCGAATATTTTTAGTAAAACTTTCCTCGGCCATTAGCTGACCGATCCTCGGAAATTTGCTGATTTTTGGTAAAAAACTATCCGAACTTTTTTGGAAATTTGCTGATCGAACCTTTTGGTAAAACTCTCCTCGGCAATTAGCTGACCGAACTTTTTGGTAAAACTCTTCTCGGAAATTTGCTGATCGAACCTTTTTGGTAAAACTCTCCTCGGCAATTAGCTGACCGAACTTTTTTGGTAAAACTATCCTCGGAAATTTGCTGATCGAACCTTTTTGGTAAAACTCTCCTCGGCAATTAGCTGACCGAACTTTTTTGGTAAAACTCTTCTCGGAAATTTGCTGATCGAACCTTTTTGGTAAAACTCTCCTCGGCAATTAGCTGAACGCGTTATACATAATAAAATATTATATATAAAAAAAATTACGGTTCGTCCAATGCCAGCGAAGAAATATTCCTCAAAATATTTCAGTGAAAGTTTGCTTTTATGTAATTCTACTAGTGGAGTATGAACAGCTACTCGGAAGGAGAAGGAGGTTTCCATTTTCATGAATGCAATTCTTGCACCACATCGTACAAACACTAACAAAAAAAAAAGAAAACTGAATTAAATTATGACAAGAAAATAAAAACGAAAAGGAAACAAAAAATAAGGGATGAATAAAAACAAGACATTGGAAAAAATGAAAATAATTAAAATAGACACAGAATTGAAGTATCGTATTTGACGGTATATAAGACGCAAGGGTGTATAAGACGCACCCCAATTTCTGCAGGGCAAATCAAGAAAAAATTAGTAATTAGTAAAATTATTAGTTAATGGTACATCATACGCTATATTTCGGGGGTATTATTTTGGTTAAACAAGCCAAGATGACAATTAAACGAAAATAAAAAGGAAAAAAAAGACACAAGCCTATAAAACTTTATTATATCCTTTATATGATCTGTACAACATGTGTCTTGTAAAAGCCTTATTGAAATAATTAGGATATAAAAATTCTGATTGCATTTATACCAATGCAACCGAAAGTTATCGCAAGAAAAATATTAATGAAACAAATCTATTTTACAAATATATAATTTGAATTTATTGCATATAATTTTAGTGAAACAAAGTACTAATATTAAACATGATGAAATTAATATAATGAATATTATCAATGATAACACTTTTAATCTGCATAATAGCCTTTTAAATAATGATAATAGGTATATGAAAGTTTTTCTAAAGTCTAAGCTAATAGGAGTTGCCAGGTAGCTAATTTCGGCCGACTATGGTGAATTTTAAACCTACATATGGCATATAAGACGCAGGAGAACTTTAGAAGATATTTTGAGTAAAAAAAAATGCGTCTTATATGCCGTCAAATACGGTAAATAAAATGGAAGCAATGTTGGAAACCATAATTTAAAAAAAAAATCAAATGCAACCAAAATGAACACAAATAAAACGGAAACAAAGAACATGCAAATAAAATGGAAATAAGCCAAAATGTAAAAAAAATGAATAAAAATGGTACCAAAAATTAAGCAAAAGACAGAAAAACAAATTGGAAAGAAAGAAAAGAGAAACTGCCAGGATATTAGGAAAACGGGACGACAAATGGTCAAATGACAGGGAATTTTAAAATAAAGAAGAAGGGAACAAAAGTAAGAAAACGTATGTAAAATGGAAGGAAAATGGGCATAATGAAAAAGCAAACAAGGAAAATACACACACACACACACACACACATATATATATAATAGCTGGTTAATCGTATTCGGGGATACCGTCTATTAAGACGGCTAGCTAATCCCTATTGCAGGCTTTCGCTCAGGCACATTTGTGTTTGTTCAATACCCACAAAGCCCCACTGTGGTTTATACTGCAACTATGCTGAGCAGACCTTAGTTACAGTTTCTGGGAGAGAGCGGGTTATCTAACGTGGCAAAAAATGTGAACAACGTCAGTACACTCAAACCCTCGGTCACGATGACTTGTGACTTCGTACATACATACATATATACATACATACATATATACATACATACATACATACATATATGCATATATACATACATATATACATATATACATACATACATACATATATACATACATACATATATACATACGTACATACATACATACATGTAAATATTCTCAGATAGAGTGCATCTGTAGAAGAGACAACGCGTTTCATGCTCCGAGAGACTTTATCAAGTTAGAGTCTCTCACAGGACGAAATGCGTCGGCTCATCATAGTTTTTCCTCTTTTCTCTTTATATTCATATATATATATATATATATATATATATATATATATATATATATATATATATATATATATATATACAACAAATTAGTAAATACTAACATATCTACAACAAACCCTATCAAAAAATTAGGTTAATCATATATTACACTAAATCTAGTACATCCAACTTAATTATTCGCAATGATTCTTCCCTCTTCCTGTTAGCGATTTGCGAAAAAACAACATTATAAAGTTTTATTAGTTTATAAATTCAAGTGACCTTTGGGAGATTGTATCTCCAATGTATTAAATGATATTTATGTTGGTCACATCACAAATTCGCTTTCACGACGCTTGATTCTATATTTGAATGATAACTCTAATATTTTTAGGCATTTAAAACAACATGCCTGGCCGTGTACACAATTCCCGAAAATCCTCGTGGAAAACACAACTAGACTTAAACATGAAAACAATAAACAAAAACTAAAAATTCTTGAAGCTATATACATAAAACAGTTGAAACCTAACCTGAACAAAATAAACAACCAAATCTTCACAAATATTCTTAAATACCTATAATCGATAACAGAAGCCATTGGTTTATACCAACGGCTTCCCATAATTAATACTTCTCGTTTTCACTCTCGCGTGGTCATGTGTAAAGTCACGAGCTGCGACGAAATTTTCGCTTCCGCGTCTCGTATACACGAGTTTGTCGTTGCTTTGAAATTTTTCATGCAACAAAAACAGACTATCATTATTGTTTCGTCCGTGTACTGTTTGACATACTGAAATGTAATTGTCATCTTTGATAATGGCTTAGGTAAACTAAAAGCCTAGATTGAATTTAAATATGCATCAATATGGTGATTTCCTTCGTATTTCAATGATAATGTTATTAAGCTTATCAGACAATAAAAAGGAACTTACTTAAAATAAATAGACAAAACTTGTTTATATTATTTAATGAAACATGCATCAACATATATATATATATATATATATATATATATATATATATATATATTATAAATTTACTAATTTAAAAATATGGTTCCATCGCTACACAGAATTTAGCATGTTTCAAAAACAGAAGCTAAAATCTTCAAATTGAAATATGGAATTAAATTAAAAGTCCCTAGTTCTGTTTCATTTTCAAGCGACTTTTGGAACAACTTATTTTGAAATTTGTTAATATTAGTTTCTATGGATATGGGGAAATCCATTCATTTTAACAAGGGCTGGTAGGGTATTCATTTTCACTGACAACTAATTGTATCAAAATATGAGTTACTTTCGAAAAGAGGTTAGGTCTAGGTAGGATAGGGGTGGCTTTTTGCAACGATTGATGACATTCGTTCAACGCATGTCGTCAGTTCATTTTCAACGGCAAAAAGTTTTCTGGCACTTTTGTTTTGCCGTTAAATTTGTGGGGTATTCTTTTTCACTGACAATTATTGTATCAAAATAGGAGTTACTTTCGACAATATATATATATATATATATATATATATATATATACTAGCAGTAGAGCCCGGCGTTGCCCGGGGATGTAACAGTAAGAGATAGATCAAGTATCGACCATCATAAAGATTGAAAAATAAAATTGACAAAGATTATTGTTTAAGGTTGACGGACACGCATGTCTTAATTAGTTTTTTTTGTTTTGTTTTTTTTAACGAATTTGTCAAACCCAAACTCAAAGAAAAACATTGTTTTCAATCGTAATGAGTCTACTGATTGAATAGAATTTTATTATAAACAATTGTCTTGTAAATGGAATTTTTAAAGCATTCTGAATGTAAAAATAAAGAAAAAAGTTTGCAAGACAATAAGAAACACTACCTGCCAAAAAAAGTGAAGTTTTGTTGAAATAGGTTGAAAAATGTAGGTAATCCGATCTCATATATAAACGAAAACACACACAATCAATTCTCGCGATGCCTCTTAATCGTGTTTTCAAATTGATTTCGTGCAAAAACAATTGTGTTTTTCCAATTTTTGGCGCTGTCAGAACCATCGCAAAGTAATTTTACGTAGTCCTGTGAAGTTTTGTTGAAATCGGTTGAAAAATGTAGGAAATCTGATCCAATTTATAAACGCGCGCACACACACACACACACACACACACACACACACAACCTGGCTTTTATAATAAGTATGATATATATATATATATATATATATATATATATATGATGAAGTATAGATTTAAGGCATGGTACCTTTATAGGTAAATGTGCTGAATATCATATATAGAGCGTATGTAAATATGAAAGTTGACATTGAAGTCAACACGCTGTGGTGACATTCTGCTCATGCTTATCCGGCCTGAGGATTGTGTTTAAGCATTAAACTGACTGTCGCCGCTGGCTGCTGAATTAGGTGTCTACTTTTTATTTTTTACTTTTTATATTTACATAAGCTCTATACCTGATATTGACGACTTTAATCCATAAATATAGCTGTTGGGGCCACCCACCATCTGACTGAGAATGGACTGATCTCTCTACAATATAGGACAGTGTTAGAGAGATCAGGGGATATCACAAGTTCAGGAGATCACGAGATCAGGTGATCATTGCACTTCCGTCTCTCGAGCGGAAGATACCGTTGGACTGTAGACTCTTGCTGATTGTTACTTACTAACCTGCGTTCGTTATTACTAATCACTCTGTTGTTAAATACCTCTTCAAATATACCAGTATTTTTCCCTACATCTGTGTTTGTCTTTATTTTAATACACGCACGCGGGGAAAACTCCCTAGATCTCAACAATAGCATATCCTAAAACTATATATATATATATATATATATATATATATACTTTCTGACCAGAAGGCCTGGGTTCGAATCTCACCATGGTCAATTTATCAGGAAAGAGATTTCCTGATGTTATCGGATTGGATCGAGGTCGATCCCTGCGTACTGACCCTTTGTAAAGTGCCTGAAAACCCTATCAGGGGTTGACTCATGCCTTGTCAGTGAAATTGGGTAGACGGAATTCTTGAGGGCTGTCGATATATGGCACAAAGCCACAAGTCATCGTGGCCGAGAGTTCTGGCCTTGTTCAAATTGTTGATCACGCTAGATAAGAAGCTCTCTCACAGAAACTCCAACTAAGGTTTGCTCAGTATGGTTGCACTATAAACCACATGTTGGCTGTGTGGGTGTTGAGCAAACACAAATGTGACTGAGCGATAGTCTGCAATAGGGATTGATTAGCCGCACTAGTAGACGGGTATCCTCGAATATGAGTGGCCAGCTATTAGATAGATAGATAGATAGATAGATAGATAGATAGATAGATAGATAGATAGATAGATAGATAGATAGATAATGAACAGGTTGAGATAGATAGATAGATAGATAGATAGATAGATAGATAGATAGATAGATAGATAGATAGATAGATAGATTACAAGCCAATAAAGGGGGAAAGGAAAGATTTATTATGTTGAAGAGAGGGAATGGAAAATACAAGAGGCAAAGAGTCTGTTAAACCGAATCAAATTCAAACGGACGAAAGACGAAAGAAATATTCTCGGACCCCATTGCACATACAACTTTAAAATTCCGCCCAAAAGAAAAACAGTGTATCGATTGCCGCAGATCAAAAGCTGCTTTCTTTGTTTGGCAAAGTTCGACTACCATCTCATAAATCTTTCTGGACGAACGGTTTTTCGCTATTGACATCTTTAACCCGGCTTTTTATTTTGGCAAATGGCGATCGTTTTTTTTTTTCTCTTAGCAACAGTGTCGGGCGATTGCACCATTCATGATAAGCATTAGGTAATGGTAGAGTAGTATGGTTCTTGTCCAAATAGGTGACAGAAAGGATAAAGAAGGAGAATAAAAGGAAGAGTAGGTGGTGAAGAAGAGAGTGAAGAGATTAAAAGAGAAAAAGAAGGAAATGAATAAAGTTGTATTGAAAATGGGGAAGTTTCGCTATGAGGGAAGAGATGAAAAAAGAAATACAATGAAAGAGAAGAGAACAATGGAAAGAAAAGAGAAATTTGAGAAAGAATAACTGATGAAAAGGAAAAGAAAAAGAATTGATGAAAATAAAAGGCTGAAAAGAGACACAAAGGAAATTAACGGGAAAATAAAAAGAAAGAAATATGAAAAACAATTGGAAATTTATAAAGAGTGAAGAAAGAAAAAAGAAAGAAAGAAAAATCAGGAAAATATAAACGGCTAGAGGAGCTGGTTAAAAAATACGCACATAGAAAAAGTACCTGTTTTTAGGATAAAAGAAAAAGAAAGGAAGAAAGAAAGAAAAGACAAAGGATCAAGAAAGAAAGAATGACAGAAAAGAAAGAAATTTATAAAGAAAAAAAACAAAAAAAGAAAGAAAGAAAGGAACAAAGAAAGAATAAGAAAGAGAAGACAAGAAGAGAGAAAGACAAGAGAGAATCACAGAAAAGAAAGAAATTTAGAAAGAAAAATGGATGAAGAAAGAGAAAATCAAAAGAAAGAAAGAAAGAAAGAAAGAAAGAAAGAAAGAAAGAAGAGAACGAATCAAAGTTCAGAAAGAAACAAACAACCACAGGAACGAAAGAATTTTAGAAAGAAAGATGCTGAAAGAGAATATTCCAAGAAAGAAGAAAAGAAAGAATCACAGGAAAAAAGAAAGAAAGAAAAAAGAAAGAAAGAAAGTATCAGAGTATAGAAACAAAGAATCAAAGTAATGAAAGAAATTTAGAATGAAAAATGGTTGAAGAAAGAGAACATGAGAAAGACAAGAATGAACCACGGCACATAAAAAAGAAAGAAAGAATCAATGAATGAATCAGAGTAAAGAAGGGAATTTAGAAAGAAAGATGAAAAAAGAGAATATTACAAGAAATAAAGATGAGAAAGAATCAGATTAAAAAAAGAAAGAAAGAAAAGAGAACGAATCAGAGTACAGAAAGAAATAATCATAGTAAAAAAGAAAGAAAAAAGAAAGAAAAAAGAAAGAAAGAAAGAAAGAAAAAAGAAAGAAAGAAAGAAAGAAAAAAGAAAGAATGAAAGAAAAGAGAACGAATCAGAGTACAGAAAGAAATAATCATAGTAAAAAAGAAAGAAAAAAGAAAGAAAAAAGAAAGAATGAAAGAAAAGAGAAAGAAAGAAATAAAAAAAGAAAGAAAGAAAGAAGGAAAAAAGAAAGAAATGGAGAAAGAAAAGAGAATCCATCAGAGTACAAAAATAAAGAATTACAATAAAGAAAAAAAAAGAAAGAAAGAATGTAAGAAAAAAGAAAGAAAGAAAAAAGAAAGAAAAGAGAAAGCATGAAAAACAGAAAAAAGAAAGAAAGAAAAAAGAAAGAATGAAAGAAAAGAAAAGGAATCCGAGTACAGACAGAAAGAATCATAGTAAAGAAAGAAAATAGGAAAGGAAGAAACAAAGATGAAGAGAACATAAGAAGAGAGAAAGAAAAGAAAGTACCGCAGTACAGACAAAGAAAGAAAGAAAGAATCAGAGTACAGAAGAAGAAAAAAGAATCACAGTAAAGACAAAAATTTAGAAAGAAAGATGATGAAAGAATCATAGTAAATAAAGAAAGAAAGAAAAAAGAAAGAAAAGAGAAAGAAAAGAGAAAGAATCAGAGTACAGAAAGAAAGAATCGAAATAAAGAAAGAAATTTAGAAAGAAAAATGGATGAATAAAGATAAATTAAGAAAGATTTAGAAAGGAAGCAGAAAATAAAGAAATTTAAGAAGAAATAAAAGGAAGAAAAACAGGAAAATGAAAAGA